TTTTCTTGCAAAAATTTCAATGCCTGGCTAGGGAACATCTAGCCAGGTGATGAAAAGGTTGCCAGGAAAGAACCAAGCTCAGAGAACCCCAAGGACTCCACAGTTCAACCCTGAGGTACACATATTCGCCTCTATTGGGACATTGATTCATTGGTGAGAAGTATCAGAGAATACAGATAATCTCTGGTAAATAGGAAGTGTATTAAACTGAACAATGTATTTTATGTTATTGTGTTAATCATATCTGTTGTTCTCACATCCCAATTCTAAATATAGTAATTGTGATCCTGAAGAAATTTTTAAAATGCATAAATAAGACAATTGTATCTTTTGCCAATGCTTTCTTTCTATGTTTTGCCTCCATTAGCTCCCAATCGAAAGTGCAAGCATTTTTTAGAACTGAAACATAATTTGTTATGAGAGTCACAGTTACCCAGAAAATACCAGTGAGTGACCTAGCCACGTACTAATGGTGTTCACATATACAAGGCTACATTCATATTGGGACTGTTATTTTTACTGAAATAATTATGACCTACTTTCAAGTAATAGGCCCAGTCCAGTTAAAATGGTCATTAAAGTGAAAACAATAGGCTATTTTCTTGGTTTTATTTGGTCGTAAGACATAATAAGTATCAAATGAAGCCAGGTATATTTAAACCTATAGATTAAATTTGCATTATATTTTACAAAACTGCAGTTAATTACAGTTAAGAAAAATACAAATTATTGCATTTTCCACATTATTTAGAAAATGTGTAATATTTGTTGAATGATGCTCTGCCTTTTTATATTAAGGTATATTTATTAATTTCTCTCTAAAACTGTCAAGCTTAATGTAACTTTAAAGAGTTCTCATAGTTGGAAAGATTGTGCATTTTAATCTAGAACTGCTTGATAAAACACCATTTGAATTGCAAATATTTTCATCTTTATTCTTTAGATTTAAAAATAAAAGATAAGTAATATAAGCTTTACTGTTGTCTCTCGTAAAATATTTCTCATTTTCTGTTGTGGAAAAAGACTAGTTATTGAAAGTCTGTACTAAGCTGCCTAGAATCCATCCAGCGTCCTTGTCGAAAGAAATCAGCTTGAGATTCAGCTGACATAATGCAGAGCTTGTAGTGTGCCTAGTATTGTTATAAAATTCCAACATATTCAGTGGATGTCTTGCATGCAGAAAATAATGTGCATTGTATATATACCATGGTTTAAATTTATCCAGCAGCACATTCTCCTATTCTGGTTTTCACAAGAGTTTTAAAATTATCATGGTACAAAACAAAATACTTTTCATTATAGCTTCACTGGTTATCAGTAACCTATGAGCTTTGCTTTGCTGGCTGCTTACTGGTGCATTTAATAAAATAAAGATCACTCAGTGGTGCCGTGGGCAGCATGCAAGGTGATAGCCATATTTGCTTACTGTAAATACAAGAGAAAATCACACACAAACCGGCTGTAGTTTTGACAAGTATTAAGATCCCTCTTTACATCTGTACCTTTGTACCAAAGTGCAATTAGTTTTCCTCACACAAGGATTTCTGTTTATTTTATTCTGCTTGATTACTTTTGTATAATCGTATCGCTTGCTTCATTGCTCCTGGTCGTAAGCTCCAGTTTAAAAGGGGGAGGATGAGTGCGTGTAAATATACTGGATTTTTTTAATATAGGACTTTAATTTAGGCATCTGGATATCATCATTTTCTTAATATTTTCCTTCATTACTTTTCCTTTTCACAAGGTTTGATTCACATACGTCAGATTCCTCAGCTTAATAGCTTGATCTGTGATGTATCAGACACGAAGGACCTTGCTTTTAGACTGAAAAGGAAGCTGTTCGTTATTGAGGTAAGACTATATATATATGCGCAATACTGTTTGAAAGATGGAATGTATTAAATGTTTAACCATTAATATTTAAAAAGTAGGCCACAACCTGCAGTAACAAAGTATGACATACATATTTCTAAAGATGTCAGAAGCATATTTAATTAAATGTTAATGATTTGCTCTTAGTTGTGTTGTTAAGTGGGAAAGTGCCTAGATGTTATTACTCCAGTTAGGATTTTAATGTGCAGTACTGCCTAAAATTGAGCATGGCATGAGGATAAATATCTTTCTCATTATTCAGAAACAATTTCCTTTGCATTACTGGAATCACCTTTAACTCTTCCATGTCATTTTAAATACAGGATCATTTACATTAATGTCGTTAAGTAAATTTTCTACCAAATTTAAAATCCCCCCCCCCCCCGACCTTCCATGCAGATAGTCACTCTACACAGAAGGCAATAATGCAAAAGACTATTTCATTTTAGTCTTGCTAAAGAGCAGACAACTATTAGGCAATTAGAGTTGATGTATTTATTAACCAATTGGATCCAGAGGCTGAAAACAAAAGTTGCTTTGGGAGTGAAGGAATTGTACAGTCTTTGCAGGTTTTAAACAAAGGCATAAAACAGTTAAGCAGCCCTGACAAATCATTTAGTTTAATCTCTTTCAAGTGAAAAGCTGTTATGCAGGCCACTTGTCTTAACTGCTTGAAACCATAAAAGGAAGAATTGCCACCAATATATTAGCATATTTTTAACTTCATCACCAAATGATGGTCAATGTGGCTTGGCACTGCTTTGGTGTTTGGGATTTCACCCTTAAGTGACCACATTGGCCCTTATTTGACCCTCTGCCCTCTTTAGCTGGCCACTTGATAAGGTAACCTAAGGATTCTCTTCTAATGCCCCTCCTCCACATCTCTCTCACTGTCTCTTCACAATTGCGTGTTGGAATAACCTATAAATTGTTGAAAGGAGCCCATCAAGTGACAAATTAAAGTGCCCTCCTCCTAATAATGGTAATCAATGTCCATAATCATCTACTCCTATTGAAAGCAGTTAATAGTTAATCAAGAAGCCAGGTTTTCAGCCAGGACATCTCTGCATGAGTACGCAACTTGAAGAGATGTTGGCTTCAAAAGCTACTTGAAGGCAAATGTTTTTCTTTTAAGAAATTGTGATTCCTCTGTGTATTTTCAGTTTTCAGAAAAGAATACATCTAATGGCACTAAATGCTGTACTAGTTTAGTCCATTTTAACATAATTTCACTTCATCAAAAAGGCTATTCTTCTTTTGAATCACTTGAATAAAGGAGTTTAATATTCATGGAAGAGTTTAAAATTCAGAAACTGTAATTATTTTCACTGACACAGAAAACAGACAATATGTTCCTACTATATTAAATTCCCATTTATTGCACTTTGAGCTGAAAAAAAAATATTTTCCCCCCAAAATGTAGACAGATCAGAACATTAACTCTGTCAGTAAAATCTCTGGTTATTATTTTCTGTTGTAATTTTCAAATGAAATGACTCACAATAATAAAAATAAAGTAGCCAAAAAGGGTGAAAAGTAATCTGATTTCTTTAAGGCTCCTTTAGAAAATGAACTAGAGATGTATACATGATTTTTTTAATTATTTCAGCCCTCACTGTGAAAGACTGTGCTCTTTATAAACTGTTTCCTTTCTTAAAAGAGAAAAATATTGCTTCCTAACCCATCAGTGTCTGAATTTACAGTCTTCTCTACACTGCTAATCTTCTGCCCTTGCTTTTAAATTAAATACCATTTTCCTCTATAAAAAGTAAGCAAAGGAAAACATGTACACTATTAGCCCTGACAACATGGTTGATCAAGTTAATATTAAATTTAATAAGGAAAATAAGGAAAATTAAAATCACTTTTAAAATTAGATAAATATCAAACAGAATGCATTATATACCTTACAGCAGGGTTTTTAAAAAAAAAATAGGTACCTATCATTTTGAAAGAATATGGAAAGAAAGTTATGGAAAACATTCTTCAAATAAATCTTAAATGTAGAACTGAAAGTTTTAATCAAGCATGTCCTATATATTTATATTGTCATTTTGTTACAACCTAATTAAACATCTCTGAAAATAGGATTAGAGAAATATTAATAAAGGAATTCCTAATTTGAAGTTGGAACCATTTCATCTATCACAGATCTATTGCTTCTCTGAAGCTTTGTAATGTGTTTCTTATAGTTACCTGGTTTTGCAACGGGAATCCCTTCATAAAATTCTTTTCATGTGGGCATTAGCACTGGTTATTTACAAACATATCATTCTATTCTTACTAATATTTTAGATATTAAGTACATGAATATTGAAATCAAGATGTTTAACTAGAAAAGTCAGTACCTTCTATATTCATCTGTAGTGTATATATTTTGAGCAAGAAAAAGAGCTTGGACATTAAAGCACACCTATGTATTTATTTGTTATAATATGTACAGGATATTGATTAGCGTAATACCTGTACATAGTGAAACATTTACCTAACATTTCATTACCTGCTCTTTCACTGCATGTTTTAAAATCTTAGAGAAACTCTTAAGTGCCTGTCTTTTCAAAAAGGCTCATAGTTTTGAAGTTACGTTGTCTAATCCTATTTCTTCGTACTTTGGAATCTTAATTAGAAGGAGATAAAGACCATCATTTGACTAAATTATTGTCTTGAATCTGTAGCAAAAGGTATAATCCGCAATTGGGCCAATTAGTGTACCCCATCGTTAGCTATGCTGAAAAAAGCAGCTAGATTAGATCTGACACCAGCCTAGTTCCCACTGTTGTTTTGCCAGGTAGGATGGTCAGACTTCAAAGAGCTTGAGGCATCAGCAGGGCAAGGTTTGAAGGCCAGCTTAGGTCCGGTTGTTAATCTCTCTGTAAAAACCACAGCAGCCATCACACAAAACAAGCTTATACAACATAATCATGCGGTATTAAAGTTTGGGTTGAGTCATACCAATTTGCCTTTGATTTTCTGATGATTGAATAAAAGATGGCTATATGACTAGACATATTCCCAAAATTTACTGATTAGATAAGTTCCTCAAACATTTGAAATATTTTTTTTTTATTTTTCAATTAAGTATATGACATGCTATTTATCCTGACGAAACTTTCTGACAGGAAAGTATATGGCATACAATTTATGTACAGAATACTAAGTTAACACACCTAATACCATTTCTTATGCTTTTGTTTATGAAACTTGTTTCTCATCATTCCAAAGCAATTTATATCAAAGTTAAAAAGAAAAACTAATGATAGTATTCTGTGTTTATTATTATTTTCTATTTAAATTTTGGGTTAAATACTTTTCACTGATATCATTACATAACTCTTCTTTTGTCCTGCATTTTGATTTGCTGAAATTTTGCAGAAATAGTGGCATATTTCCATTCCGAGAAACCCCCAGTGCTGCTTTAGTATTATTCCAAATTATTAAAATTGCCTTTCCCTTGGGCACTTTTAAGCCTATCTGCTTTTCTATTTATTTGTTCTGTCCCCCTGAAGTTTGAATAGCAGGGCATCACTACTGGTTGGCCAGGTAGGTGGGATAATGCAACATGTATCATTTCTGTGTGCTCATTATATAGAATGTTATATCTGAAATCTATATTACTTTAGGTCCCTGTTTTGATATGTTGAAATTTCATGTTTATTCAGGATAGTATGAAAAAATAACAAGCCACTGAACTTTAATATTTTTTTAAAACCTAAATTTTACTTGGTGCTAGTATCTAAAACTTGTTTACTGAACATATCTATACCTGGAATTCTGAAGCCCAGTTAGTAACATCACCTAGTTGACCCTGACTGATCTCAGAAAGCTAAGCAAAGTTGGACCTGGTTCATACTTGGATGGAAGGTCACCATGGCTAGATTGAGAAGTTGAGAAACATCCTGAAGGAAGCAATTGCAAACCACTTCTGTATTTGTTCCCCCCCCCCAAATAAAAAATCCTGTATAGACATGTCCATAAGATCACCAGGATTATGGATTATGAAAGACATAATTTAGAATCTGCATAAGGGGCAGTTAAAATAGTACAGACTATATGGTATAGTGCTACATTTTAAAAAAGATAGACTGGTTACAGATAGGAAAAGACATCCAGTGCCAAAGTGATTTCATCTTCTGTGTGCTGCATGTTTGTATCAGTTGATGTAGGAAGCCAGGTAAAGAATTTGGTGCTATCCTTCACCACAGAATTTCCCTGAAAAGTCAAATATAACTCAGGCTTGAGATTTTTCATATCAGCTATATATTTTATCTGCCTATTCTCCAGTTGACATTGCATCAAAAGTCATGATGCAAATTTTTTTACAATTCTTCCATATATGAGTTTCTGCCATTGGTTTTACATTGCTTTGTTCAAATTTTGAACGTGTTCATGGATAAGGAAATAATCTAATCTACTTATACCTATACCTTACAACTTTGCCCATTTCTAAAACCAGCCTTGGATTTAAGATTCAAAATCCAGTTGGCTTCAGTAGCAATTTGCTTCTGCAAATACATTTATTTATTTACTATATATTATACGTGGATTTCATTATTCCACCTTAAATTAGTCGATGACAAGTTTTCTGTTGTCTTTAAACTTCAAGGCAGAAGGTACCTTCTATGGAGAAATGGGTGTTTCTTCTCCATCTTTAAAAATATTTTGAGGACTATTGGTTTCCATAGTATATTTTCTCTCCTGTTAAAAAAACTACTTAAACCTGTTTAAATTTTATACAGTGTGATGTTACTATATGAAAAAGCTGGTTATGACGCAAGCTATAGTATATAAAGAAGTCATAGTATAACCAAATACAGGATGTACCATCCGGTGGTAGTGAGCACTTATATTTTCATGAACAAATAGATATCTTCCTGGAAATTATATTGTGAGGAAACAAAATACATACTGTGGAAATGAATTAAGTAATGTCATGGGTGTATATAGACACATTTTTGCTGGTCTCCTGGGTGATTTAAATG